GGCAGAGGCCCAGGAGGGGCCTCCAGCCGGGCCGGCGATAGTCGGAGCAAGCAATATGCTTGGATAACCCATCTCCAGCGGTGCCGCTGCTGCCTCTTCTTTGCTGGGACAGCTCAAGGCCTCGGGCAGCCTCTGGAAGAGAGGAAGGAGGGGGCTGGGCGGGGCTGCAGGCTCTCCAAGCAGCCCCAGAACCAGCCCCAGGGGCTCACAGCTCCTGTTCTCACTCTGTGCTTCTGCTCACCCCCACCCCCAAGACAATACACTGATTTTCACATAGGGACTGGTGTGTAAAGGGTCATTTTTAGGAAGCAAAGATGGCAGTGTTTGAGCACAGAGGCTGGCTGAAAAGGGAGATGGAAAAACAACCAACGTCTCAACAGTTGTATCTGGAGCAGAAGCCCAGGGCAGCAGCTTTGTTATTCCAAATGGACAGCAGCTGTGACTGCTTTATCTTCCCTTCCACAGCACGCCCTGGGAGACAGATGGGGAGTGGCTGAGCTCATCCTCACAATTCCACATCCCTTTCCAAGGCTCCCTGCAGGGATGGTCAGTACTAACCCTCCCAAGCGGCTGGTTCTGGTTTCCTGAAGTTGCCTGTTTCCAGAGCCCAGAAAAAGGGTTTCTGACAAATGGCCTCACGTAACAGCATTGTTCTGAAAACCTACAGCAGCTGTGAAAGGGATCCCTGGCACAAGGGGCACGCCTGGAGCAGCCTGGATAAGCCAAATTACACAAGCAAAGCACTAACCCTAGAGCCACACGGGCAGATTTGCCCAAGTCCCAGAATTAAGTAGAAGGTCTTACCTGGAAATCATTAATTTTCTTAGTGAGAAGATGATGTGTTCTGAGTCACCTGGAACAAGCCAAAACAGAAGGGTCAGCTCTAAGCCACCATCTGCAACTCCAAACATTCCTGCTGTGTTCCCAGCAGCATGAAAAGGAAATGTTTAGGACATGGAAAACAGCACAAGGGCAGGAACCAGGAGATGCTGCCATGAGACTGTGCCACTTGTTTTGCTGCTGTTCACTCAACAGGAACCAGCCTGGGCAGCCACCAGCACAAAAACCAAGAGCTTTGGAACAAAGAGCAAGGCAGAAAGTGTCTTAAAATGAAGAGCACAGGTGTCTGGTGATGGACACAGATAAACATACATAGAAACAGACCAAGAAGGAGGCGGCAGAGATGAACAAAGCAGGGTCTGAGGAGCACAGAACATGCAGGACAGCAACAGTGAAAGCAGGGAGGGGGGAGCAGCGTGCAGGAGAGAGGACAGGGATGTGGACCCCATGGATCCAGGCAGGAGCAGGGATGTCCCCCATAGTTGGCCGCCCATCCTTCAAATGCCCATAAGAGGGAGCAAGGGACCAGATGCCCAGGATTGGCTGAACAGGGCAAAGCCCTGGAAGGGACATCAGGCTCTTACCTGCAGGTGACCTTTCAAATTGGCTGGCGTTTTATAATCCCCCTTTAAAACCTACAGAAAAGAGAAAACTGGAGTGACCCTCTGGGGTGGTGGCTCTCTGGGCATCTGTAAATGCCCCTCGTTAACTGCCTCCTGTCCTGAACCAGCTGAAACACCCTGATGGCCTTTTGTTCTACATCGAGGTGCAACACTGGGGCAAAAGCAGGACTGTCAGGAAGGGCAGGGAGCAGCACCCTGCAGGGAACCAGCAGTTCTCCCCCCCAGCTCCACCCACCACAGCAGCCGTGCCCAAACCATCCCGCTGGAGCTGCGGGGCTGCTGTTCCATCTCCCAAGAGAAGAGAGCATTCCTCTCCCTGCCCTGTTGGGATTGTTTCAGCAGCCTCTGCAGCTCCAGAGGGCTTGGTGGGTGCAGGGACCCCCAGCCCCGGGTCAGGACCCCCCCCACACACACACACACTGACACTCACTCTGTGCGTGTTGTTGACAACCAAGGGGTCAGGGTGGCCGTAGTTGGGGGGGTTGGCGTAGGGGTCGTAGCCCAGCCTGGCCAGCATGGGGGCAATGTGGGCCATGTCCTGCAGCACATCCCCTGGGATGTGCCCGATCCACTTGGATAGAGCCTCCATGTTCACCGGCTTGATCACCTGGTCCGTTGATCTCTCTATCCTGGGGAAGAAGAAGAATGGAGAAGAACAAACTGAGGCACTAGAGCTGGATGTCACAGCAGAGCCCTCCCCCAGCTGCACTGCCTGCCCCCTGCACCTCGCTTCCAACACCCAGAGCCAATGCTGAGCACCCACCAGACCTGCCAGGCCCAGGCCCAGCAGCCCCATCCTGCCCACAGCCCTGCTCCAGGACAGCAGATCCTGGCAGGGGTTTCCACAGGATCTCCTTGTATTGGGGGGGATCCATCCTGCACCGGGGTCAGGGTGTTACCAGAACACTTTTGCTTATCACAGGAAAATGATGAAAGTGGTGTGGGCTTTAGCACAGACACACCACAAGACCCCACTGAAAATCCACTTTTCTGTTTAGGAAACCTCAGCAAAACTTACTCCAAGCAAATAGTGCTGAAAGCTCCGGAGAAATCATTGCTTCAGCCATCAAAGGTGCCTGCATCTCTGTCCTGCACCACAGCCACCTTCCTGGTCACCACAGAGTGTCCCCGGGGAGGGGAGCAGAGCCTGGCCATACACCCCTGGCTGCTCCAGAGAAATGGAGCAGCTCCTGGGCACAGCTGCCCTCACCACTCAGGCACAAGCAGCTGATGCAAAGACTGTTTGTGTGGTTCCCTCACACCACTGATGAGATTTTGCTAAGTTAGACTTAAGCCTCCATTTGGGAAATAAAGAGCATTAAAAGAGGAGGAGGAGGTGAGAGAAGGCAAAGCACCCAGGGACAGCCAGGAGGGAGAGCTGGGGTGTCTCCACGGAGCAGGTATTTCTTTTATTCTGCAATACCAGCACCACAGCTGGCAGGGATTGCTGCTGAAAGCCAGTCATTAGCAGCCAAGCTAATTGTGGTAAGAGGTGTTTGAGAACAGGTGGTGAAAAGGGGCATTAGAGAGCTCACGTTTCAAAGCAAGCACTTCTTTTCAATTAGAGACCAAAATAATTTCTGCACCGTCAAGACAGAAATAAAATAGTCACCTGCTCCTGACTGCCTGGCAGGCTGCTCTGTTGGGTACAACACTGCTCGTGTTCAGACCCTCTCCTGCTCAGAAACAAAACCTGCAGCAGCAGAACCGGACACGCTGTGACTCCTGCCCCCCAGCAGAGCACACAGACACAAGCAAAGGGTCTTTGCCCCCAGTTTTAGCCTTGACCTGCTGGAAAAGCTGCGGCAGGAGCTGAGACACTCACTTGGAAAGCGAGACCCCGCCGGGCTTCCCGATCAGCTCCTCGTGGTGCAGCACCGTGTCGCTCCAGGAGATGTCCAGGAACTTCATGATGGTGTGCATGGACTGCTCGGGGTGCAGCACCAGCTGCTCGTAGTAGACGGGCAGGCAGCGGGAGCGCCCGACCTCCAGGCACTGGGAGTACATCACCTCGATGGCCTTGTTCCACTTGGTCAGGCAGTCCCGGTAGCTGTTGAGGTCGAAGCCCGCGATGGTCACTTTCCGCGTGATCATGGAGTGGACGGAGGCGCGGCCGTCCCGCCCCCTCAGCAAAAAAAACGCCTGGACAGGTAGACGGAGGACTTGAGCGTGAAGGGGTCCTTGTTGCACAGGTAGCGGGCCGGCTCGCCGTGCTTGGCGATCACCTCCAGGATGAAGGCCTGCATGGCCGAGTCCAGAACCTGGTCCGTCACCCCCGCCTCGTCCAGCCGCATCTTCTCGCGGCCCGACCTGGCCCAGGCCTGGCGCATGGCCAGCACCCGGGGGATGATGCGGGTCTCCTCCCCGCACCGCACCTCGGGGTGGGCGTCCAGCATGGCCCTCATCAGCGTCGTGCCGCTCCGCGGGACCCCCCCGATGAAGATCAGGGGCATCTCCTTGCTGTAACGGTACTCGACGTGGTTGGAGTCCATCATGACCAGCTCCTCGTTCTCGGGTCTCATCAGCCTGTGCCTCCTCTTGCTCAGGACCTGCTGGCACTCCAGGACCTGCTGGCCAAGGTGCAGAGTCACCATCAGGGCGACCACCGAGCCCACCACCAGCAACACCCTCCTCGTGGTGACCCGCATCCTGCTCTCCTCGGCACAGGGTGGTGGCCACGCTTCAGCTTTCAGCTACCAGGGGTTCATCCCAACCAGCATCTGTGAGAGAAACGGCAGAGTCAGGGGAGCAGAAGCCACAATCCAGCCCAGCCCTGGTGGCACCTCAGCCTCCCGGCTCCTCCAGGATGCTGACACCACCCCAGGCTTTGTCATCCCTTCCACTTATCAGCAACTTCTAGGCCAGTTGCCTTCTACCCAGGAGGTAATTACAGTCTGTCTTAGAGCACACCCAAAGAGGTTCTTTCTGGACTGTTTGTGTACCCAGAAACACAGGTTTACAGCTGGAGCAAAGCTCCAGGAATGATTTAGAGGAGGGGCCAGGCATACCCAGCCAGTCCCTTAAAAAAAAGTCTCTCTAGAGTCTGTTCCACCCGAGGTGAAGCCCCAACCCTCCCTGCAGTTCTCCCAGCACACCACCCTCTGCTCACTGCTCTCAGCTACCTGACCCCTTCCTACATTTTCTTTAGTTTCAGTGTGTGGTCACAGGGGAGGGTGGAAAGCTGAAACAGGAGAAAAGCAAAAGCATCTCATGCAAATGTGAAGGGTCTGAGTCAGGAGAAGCAGTTACCCATTAGAGTGAAACACTCTGAGAAATTAAACCAGCTGAAGGCTAACAGCAACACACATTCAGCATTAAATTCCCCTCCTTCCAGAGACTGACCTTACATAAAAATCCTTGAAGACTTCATCCTGCATTAAGACTCTTTTGGTTTTCTGTGGCTGGGTAGGATATTCTGCAGTTTCTCCACGTCCCCTGCTCTGCTGCCTACCCGGGAAGGACTCCTGCAAAGGCTGGCACAGCTTCCCACACCCTCCCCCCCTCTGCTCCATTTGGGAGCCCAGGTTTTGCAATCCTCCCCTGGGCTCACCCAGGGATTTCAAGTTCTTTGTGATTATGTGGCTGGGGTGAGAGCTGAATGGTTGGAAGGAACGGGACGTCCACGCGTTTTGTTTTGCTGACAGTCCAAAGAACTCCTTCAGAAAACTGAAGAAAAACTCCTCTCCACTCTCTCCATGAAAGAGCACATTTAGCAGCAGCCCATGCCAAGCCCCTCAGAGGAGGGAGGAGAACCACCCCTGAGCCCAGCTGCCTCCTACCCTGCCCTGCCCACCAGCACAGGCAGCCCCAGAACCGGCCCAGCACCCCGGGAATAGCTCCTTTCCCTTTCCACCCCCACCATCCTGTTCCACCTCCCAGCTCACCACCCACCCACTCGGCTTCCATCCACCTTTTCCCGATGTGTTTGGGACTGTGACGTGGATGACTGCCACAAGGAGAGGCAGTGCCTCTCTGCCTCCCTGGGGATGTGTTTTCCCATCCCAGCAGCAAAGTAACCTCACCACCACCACCACGATTTCTGTGTCTCTCTCACCCCATGGTTAGCACCAGCCAACTGCTTGGTTGACCTACCAAGGTTACACAGTTTGAAATGCCCATACACTGCATCACATTAACAAAGTCAAATGCTGGGCCATTTGTTTAGATGTAAATCAGAGGGAATAACGAACAGCTTTGGCATTTTTCCTGCACCAGCAGTAGAGTCAGGCCCATTACAAAGGCAAAGGCTCATCTGCTCCTTCCTGCTATCTTGATCAGCTTGAGTCATGTAAATATATTCAAACGTTCACCCTAAAAATAACTGCAAATGCCACAAGACCCATTTCAATGTGTTGTAGCCAGAGCAGTCAGGATTTAAGGCCAACCAGAATAATTACAGCTACACAGACCAAGACAGGCTAATTAGCAGGAAAGATCTGCAGTTTACAAAGGAGGGAGCACAGAGGTGCTCTGTTCCTTGCAGGAACGATTTATTTACAGCGAGATGCTCCCAGCAGCTCCAGTTGGAGAGGAACAAAGGGACTCAGTCATGTGCTGTGCCAGGCGGGAGGCTGGCAGGGAGCCCACTGTGCCACCCCTGCTCCCTGGGACTGAGTGCTGTGTCCCTGGGGATCGCCCTGCCCGCCCGGCCAGCACAGACACAGCCCCCACCGAGCCCCATGGGGATTGTTATGGGAATGGATCATTTCCTGCACAGCAGGTATCTGGTGGAAAACATCACGGCACAATTAGGTGGCATGGCTGGTTGGTCAGAGATGGCCTTCTAATCCTTCAGGTGCCCACACTGGCTCTGAGAGCTTCCCACTCCAGCAGGAGCTAGGGAGCTTGCAGGGGCTTCTCTGGCACATCCCTGCAGCTGGTGACAGGGAGCAGGACTCCAGGTGCCAGCAACTGACCCTGGGCTGAGCCCCCAGGTGCAGCTCAGACACTGCAGGACGGGGACAGACTGTGACCCACAGCCTGGGATTCCATCCCCGAGAGCAGAGAGTGTGGGGGAGGATGGGAACTGGTGGGGAAGTGACAGCAGAGCAGTGACAAACAAGGACACCAGGTGCTACAGGCAGGAAGCCTTCCTTATATTGCAGCTGATGGGACATGGGCGTAAACAACTTAAGCCATTCCTTGTCAGCTTGCAAAGGCAACGCAACACACAGGGTGCCAGTGGCAGGGGGCACAGACGTGTGGAACATTCCCAGCCCACTCCCAGCATCCCAT